GAAGTAATGACTCCCCAGCGCTTTCTGGGGCTTTGCGCTACCTCGACTTATCGACAGTCATGGAGCCTGCCTCGGACTAATTTTGAGGTTCCCCGTAGTGGGGACAGGCTATTTCGATTTTGTTACTTTGGGAGTTATTTTGAATTTAGTTCCTAGTGTAGAAGTGCCCAGGGGCACGTGGAGGTGTCGCCCGCAAAAACAGGTGTAACCCTTTCACTCCAACAGTAGAGGTACGTTTTTAGTGAACCCTGCTGACTTTTTCCGCTCCAAGGCACTTAATGGTAGAGTTTTGCCCTACCATTCTTTGCCAGGAATTTCCCTTCCCCTTGGTTTTCTGTGTGGGTGCTGTATACTATGGCTGTATGTTTGGCTGATGCCTTCCTCCCAAGAGGTGGCTGCATTCTGCGGCTGCCATTTGTCCAGGTTAGGCTTTGAGATCCTTCGGGAAGAAAGATGCCCCGTGCACACAAAATGTCATTATAAGCTGCAGACTACAGCACGTGGCTCTTATTCTGTGCTTGCTGGCATTTTGCGGGATGTGCTGGACTTCACGAAGGTTGTTTGAATCGGCCTCAGGATTCTTTTTGCTTGTAATTTATTGGGAATTAAAATTAAGGTCAGGAAAATGCTCCAGTAACCTTCTTTCTCAGTGGATCGGCTTCTCCCTTGTCTTGCACCTTTGAGTGGCGGCCTTCCCACTCGCTCTGTTCATGTGGCAGATGATCCCATGAGGGTCTGGATCTTACACACTTGCTCACTTTACACTTTCACTGCTGTTACCCTGGCAGGTCACACAACTTCTAACGGCTGTGACGGTTCTTGTCGTGGTGATCTCACTCCTTCCCCGCAGGTGTGTAGACAAAGGGCACCGCTTTTTCCTAGCAGTGGCTGTTAGCGGATGGACTGGGAGATGCAGTCACTGCATCGCTCTTCCCAATAGTGCATCCACTGGGGCTGAGTGTCGAGAAGGTCGGTGGTTTGGTCTGGTCTCCACTGAACACCCACAGCGCCAC